CTTCCAAACTTGTCATCAGGGTACATTCACCTTCCTGCCTGACTTAGAACTTGGTTCACAGTTTCTGAAATTACACTCTGGGCCATGAACTTTTCCGCTCACATGTTTCTCTCTGCCTTTAAATACCTCAGCCAGTGTGTGTGCGTGTGTGTGTGTGTGTGTGTGTGTGTGTGTGTGTGTGTGTGATTCTGGAGACCACCATGAAGAAAACGTTCTGGGGAGACCAGCTATGGGCCTGCATGCATGTGTCCCCTGCTGGATTTTGACCTTTTTCTTAACAAGGGTGAAGAATGATAATTTGCTGAGAGGGGTCCACCAGCGACTCATCTGACCCCTCCACAAACACAGATTTTGTTGCTGTGGTCCTATCACAGAGCCTCTGACCTCCCCAGCCTTCACTTTTTTCACTTGCTCAGCACTTGGAAGGTGATTTAATGTGAAATTCCTGAGCATCAATTTTACATTTGCCTCAGGATGGCAGAGTGAGAGACCACTTGGGGAACATAGGAAAGAAAGAAAAAAAGAAAGGAGGGAGGGAGAAATAGAGAGAGAAGGAAGGAAAGAAGGAAGGAAGGAGAGAGAAAGAGAGAGAAAGGAAGGAAAGAAGGAAGGAAGGAAGGAAGGAAGGAGAAAGAAAGAAACAAAAAGAAAGACAGGGAAGAAGAAAGAAAGAAGGAAAGAAAAGAAAAAGGGCTAGAGTGATAATACAGTGGGTAGGATGCTTGCCTTGCACATGATTGACCTGGATTTGAACCCTGGCATTCCATATGGACCCCAGCACCGCCAGGAATAATTTCTGAGTACAGAGTCAGGAGTGACTCTTGAGCAATGCAAGTTGGGGCTCAAAAACCAAAAAGGGGAAAAAAGAGAGAAAGAGAGAGAGAATGAGAGGAAAGAAGGAAGAGGGAGGGAGGGAGGGAAGGAGGGAGGAAGGAAGGAAGGAAGGAAGGAAGGAAGGAAGGAAGGAAGGAAGGAAGGAAGACACTTGGCTCAGATTTTCAAAGAACAGTGGCAGAAATGAGCTCTTTACCACCCGCTAGCCTGGAAATTGCCACTTCCTTCTGCATACATGTGGCTGGTCCAGGGGGCTTGCACGGAAACGGCTTGCATTCTTCACTGGGAGAGGGCAGAAAGGCCAATTTGGGAAATAGTTCTCTAATGGAAGCCAGATTGGGGGACAGTGAGGAAACGCATTTAAAAATCACATCTCCAGCATGGGTGAGGAGGATACATTTTGATGACAAGGTGATGTCTGGGGCAGTTAAGTGAACAGAGTGATCTTAACAGCAGCCACTTATTCTCCCTGTTGCATCCAGAGTTCTGAAGTCTGGTCTAGGAGCTGGGTCCAGATCATTTGATTCTGAGCAAGGATTTGGGCAGCATCAGATGGAAAAAACATTCCTGGCCAGTGCAAATTCAACCCAGGTCTAACTTGTCATTCTTCTGCTTCCTGTTCACCCCCACCACATTTCACACCCACCAACACAGACATCACACACACACACACACACACACACACACACACACACACACACTCTTCACACTCTACACATAAAGCCATATTTACTCTAATTTCTGTTCTCACTTCAGGAAGGGTATTATTGAACTGTGCTTCTCAAATTATTTCGGTTAAAGGGCCAGTTTTTCAGTTCTCTGATCCATCACAGGCCAATATTTTGCATAAAATACCATACACTTATACATCAATAAAAAGATGTACATGGCCCAAGGAGAGAGCTCAAAGGGCTGGAGCATAGACTCTGTATGCAAGAGGCCTGGTGCTCAGCAGCAGATGGTCCCTTGCCAACTGCCTGGGCTGGGGGGGGGGGTTGGTATGCCCCTGAACCCCATATATATATATCATTGTATAAAACAATCACATGGCAAGCCCAAAATTTTGGTTGTTAGATTGAGCAGATATGAAAGTAGTCCGCTGTTAAATCAATGTAAAGTTTTCGAAGCGCCAATTCTTGGCTTCTACAGTTCATCTGTTGCACACTGGGATCCAGGCAGGGGCTGCGGGTTGCAGTGATGCAGAACTGACACCACAGTGCACAGCGGGAACGGCAACCTCCAACACCATCCCTCCCTCACTTCTTCACCCATTTGTGCCGCACACTCCCCAGCGATCAGACTCCTCCCCCGGAGCCTGGGCAGTTCCACCAGGTCAAGACAGGGCATGCCAGTGAGGCAGAGGCTGAGGGGGGCATGAGGAGCTGCTCTGTCTTCCAGGAGGAAGAGGGCAGGAAGGGAAGGGTGGTGGAGCCTGGTGGAAGCAGTGTCTAGGATGAGCAGGAAAACAGCAGCCAGTGGAAGAGGGGTGGGAGAGGGGTGCCGGAGAGATAGTATAGTGGGCAGGGTGCTTGCAGGCAGCAAAGACTGGTTCGATCCCCAGCATTCCATACGGGTGCTTGAGCACCACCAGGAGTGATTCCCAAGTGCAGAGCCAAGAGTAAGCCCTGAGCACCGCCGGTTGTGCACCCAGCCCCTGAAAGAAAAAATTAAAAGAAAAGGAGGGTCTGGTAGGAAAGTGAGGACAGACGGATGGGGAGGTGAGAGAAATCCTTTCAAGCACAGCCTGTGTAGGTGGCTCTGAATGGTCTAGGCCAGTGAGCTCCATCCTTTTTATAACCAGGGCCTGACCCCTGTCCTGTGTGGAACAGGCAGTTGGCAGTGCTGTGTGCAAAGGAGTAGCAGGGCTGACAAGCTGGGAGAGGGAACACGGAGACTTGGAGGCTGGTCCAAGGAGTTAGAGGCTCATTCCAGGCTGCTCGGGAACCCAGAGGGCCACAGATGGAGGACCCCTCCCCAATACTCTCTCTCTCTCTCTCTCTCTCTCTCTCACACACACACACACACACACACACACACACACACACACAACAAGAAATGATGTGCATTTCTGAGGCTCCCAGCATCCTGGCTGGAGAGGTTGGATGAGGCTCGACTCATGGGGTCAAGGCTCATAGGCTTAGAGTTTTAGAGTTGAGCATGGAAGGGATGGAGGAGAGCCTAGGGGAGAGGGATAGTGGGCATTGGCTGCCCAGCACTGCCACAGCGAATGTAGGTCTGAGTCTTACTCAAAGCTGTTTCTCCTGGGCCAGGCAGCCGGCACAAAGGGCTGGAGCCACCCTTTGCAGCCAGCAGTCCCAGGCTCACCCCCCGCACCACGTTGTCACCCAGCCCTGCAGCATCTCCAAACCAACCATCCCGAAAGAGAAAGCTACTGTCCTACCCAGGACTGGCATCGCTTAGAAACCACCAGGCACCACCTCTCCCCTGTGGCTTTCCTTGGGTTTCTTATTAAAAGCAGCCCGTTTCCCCTTCATCCAAACAAAGGGAAAGCAATAAAGACTTGACTGAAAGAAAGGGGTCACTCCAATTTGCAAACATCAAAGCCGGGAACTCCTATCTCTTGGTTTCTGAGCAATAGCAGTAAGTGCCTTGAGCTCGGGTTTGATGTGGCAGCGAGTCCTGGCTGCCTTTGTTTCCTGACAAATGTTGGGCTGCTGTGACTGACAAGGGATGTTTGAGGCAGAAATCACAGGGATTCAGCACAGCCGCGTCCTTTCCCTGATTCTGTGCGTATAAAGAACTCAGCTGGTGTTTGGAGGGAACGTGTGGCTGGTGTGCTGAAGGGAATCTGATGCTCCAAGGAGGCAGCATTTGGGAGTCCCTGAGAGCCGGACAAGGAAAACAAAACAGCAAAACTGGGGGTGGGGGTGGGGTGGGGGAGGGGACCTGGGGCACTTAGAGGGCACCCACAAGAGCCCTGAGAAAGTGTGAACCCCGCCTTCCCATGAGGTTTGGGGAGCAAATTCCCTGCAGGACTCATTTCACATTCAGCTGGTCTCCTGGGGGCCGGGGAATAACTGAGCAGGAGGGGAGGGGAGGAGCACCTCAAAGGAAATGTTAAGTGTCTGCAGCTGCGTTTTAATGATGCCTCCACCCCCAGAAACAGAAAGGACTGGGATTCAGATTTTTTTGGTTTGGTTTTGGGCCACACCTGGTGGTGCCCAGGACCTACTCCTGGCTCTGCACTCAGGGATCGCTCCTAGCGGGCTCCAGGGGAGCCTGGTAGGTACCAGGAGGACCATACAAGGTGCTAGGGTTCAAACCCGGGTCAGCCACATGCAAGGCAAGCACCTAACCCACTCTACTGCCCACTGTACTTGGGCCCTATGTAGCCTATGTTTTTATTTTTATTTTTTTTTGGGGGGGATGGGCTTTTTGGGTCACACCCAGAAATGCTCAGGGGTCACTCTTGGCTCTGCACTCAGGAATTACTCCTGGCGATGCTCGGGGGACCATATGGGAAGTCAGGGATTGAACCCGGGTCGGCCGCATGCAAGGCAAACACCCTACCTGCTGTGCTATCGCTCCAGCCCCCTGTAGGCTATGTTTTTAATCAATATTATAATCTCTTGTATATCACTAGATATTTAAAATTTATTCTATTTTATAGTATATTATATAGTATATTTTATAGTATATTATGGACTGGAGCGATAGCACAGCGGTAGGGCGTTTGCTTTGCAAGCAGCCAGCCTGGCCGAGCCGGGTTCGATTCCTCCGACCCTCTCAGAGAGCCCGGCAAGCTACCAAGAGTATCTCACCCACACGGCAGAGCCTGGCAAGCTACCCATGACATATTCAATATGCCAAACACAGTAACAACAAGTCTCAAAAAAATGGAGACATTACTGGGCCCGCTCGAGCAAATCGATGAACAATGGGAGGACAGTGACAGTGTATAGTATATTATATTCGGGATATATGATTTTCAATGGGAAACATTTATAACACACACTTTTCTCTTACATATCTGATCTATTTATTTGTAGCCATTTAAAAAAAATTTTTTTTGAGACAAAATGATACTTAGGGCTTACTCCTGACTCTGCGCTCAGGAGTCACTTCTGGTGGTACATGGGGGAGCTAATGGGATGCCTGAGATCGAACCTGGGTTAGTGCCTTACATGCTGTACTATCGTTCCAGTCCTTGGAACCACTTTTAATAATGATATGTCATGAAAAAACAGCATGCCATCAGAAGTCATTTCAAGGGAAAACTTTAATTTTGCATGGTGTTAGGCTGTGTAACATACTGATAAAAAGAACATGGTATTCAACCATGCTTAACTCTGATCTATTTTATGTAAATACATTAATTAAAATATATAAACATATATTTTGTCCTGGAACTACCTAAAAGTAGGTTGCAGACCACCATGAAACCTCACCTTTAGCAAAATATCCCCCAGGACAAAGGTTTTTCTCTGAGATAACTAGAAATCCTGCAGATGGTCATAGCCCAGAAACCTAACCCAGACACAATAGCATTACCTAACAAGCCTCCCAGCCTACAATTTCCCCACTGATGTCAATATCACCCGCTGTAGCTGGGGAACGCCTTTAGCACAACACTGTCTCCCAATTGACTCAGTGAACAGCCATGGAATTTGGGGCGAAAGAGCAAAACCGAATGGGACTCCCGAAGATGAGCAGGTAGGACGTTTGCATCACGTGCTGCCGGCAGGGGCCAGAGCAGAAGATGGTAGCTAGAGTGCTATTCGATCCCCCGCATCCCATCTGGTCCCCCCAGCACTGCCAGGAGTAATTCCTGGGTGCAGAGTCAGGAGTAACCCCTGAGTACCTCTGGGTGTGACCCCCAAAACCAAACTAAAACAAAGAAATAAGCAAACGCATATGTTTGATAGAGAGACACGTCCCACCAAAGACATGTGTGGGTAGGGGGGCTGATACCTGGCTGAGGGTGCCAAGCTGTGTTTCTTAACTGTCACCCCCTTCATCCAGGAACCTTTTTCCTGAAACCTGGAGCTCAAATCCTCCATCTGGGCTGAACCCGAGTGTAGCTCTGGGCCCAGATCCACATCGTAATGGCCCTTCTGTGACCAGAAAGTTGTTTTAATGGGAAGGAAAATATAACCCAAAAAAGCACTGCCAGGAAATCCAGGGATGGCCCTTGGTACTACATGACGTGCAGAGCCCAAAATAGGATTAAAATGTAGATTCTTTGTTCCAAAATGATTAAGAATTCCAGGGCCGGCGAGAGGCTCAAAAGACTAAAGCAGGCTTTGCTGCTGGAGGTCTGGGTCCATGCCCAGCCGTGAACAGTCCCCTGAGCACTGGGAAGAGCAGCCCCCACCCCAGGCTTTGAGTCTGGAGTAGCCTCCCCCCACCAACTCTACCCCAAAAATCAAACAAACAAAAAAATTTTCTGTGAACTTCAGATGTTGACGAGAGAGCATTAAACCCAGCGGGGCCCTGAGAGGCTTCTGTAAACGGGAAGATTTACACGGACAGCACGGCACGGGGAATATTGACAGAGGCATGAAGGTCATCTGGCATACCTGAAGAAATGCAAGGACTTTACCGAGCTCCCCCGACCACCCACCCCAGCCAGCAACACTTCCACCCTATGCTTTCCTCTGTCTGCAGCTCCCTGCTGGGGATCTGACTCAAGAGGCAGAACACAAGCCAAGCATATACCAGGCCCCGAGTTCTATCCTTTCTATCCTCCCCAACCTCGGGGTGCAGGCCTGGTGGCCACTGTGTGCTGCTTTGCCAGGGCCAGAGCATCGTATCTCTGGCTGCTCGGTGGGGCTGAGCACTGCTGAGCACTGCTGATCCCTATAAATAAATAAATATATATATATATATATATATATATATATAGCATCTGGTGCCAGAGACATAGTACAGTGGGTAGGGCATTTGCCTCGCATTCAGCCGATCCGAGATCCATCCCTAGCATCCCTTGGTAGCCCCGAGCACTACCAGGAGTAATTCCTGAGTGCAGACCCCTGAGCATGGCCAGCCGTGGCCCAAAAAGGAAAAAAAAAAAAAGCACCGTGTTCCAACGGCAGCTGCGGTTGTCATACACTGGCAGCAAATGGCATACAGCTCCGCGAGGCCCTTCCCCAGAGCCTCTCTGACACTCTTCGGATGGCTGAGTTCTCTCTCCCCCGTGTTCTGCAGCCTCCCTCCTGCCCTTCAGTCTGAGGCATCCCAGGACACTGCTTTTCCCTCCAGCCCCTCCTTACCTGAGGATTGCAGGAGGAGGCCATATCCGAGAAAGGTGACGTCTTTGCCTGCCGTCCTCATCCCTGGGAGGCTCAGGAAGCGCCCAGAGAGGAGAGGCGGGCCCAGCGCTGGCAGGATGCTTCTCTGCTTCTCTCCCCGTGAGCTCTCTCCCCGCTCGGGAGAGGCAGAGCGACTGAGCTGGTGTCGGTCTGGGCCTGGAGCCAGGAGCCACGGAGCCGACAGCAGACCAGGGAGCTGACTGAGCACCTCGGCAGGGCCAGCAGCCAAGGGCGAGGGAGCCGAACAGGGAGGGCCCGTGGGGGGCCCCAAAGCCCATTTTTATGCACCAGAGGATGACTGGCCGGAAAATGGCATTGTATTTGTCTCTTTCTCTGACCTCACTGTTTATACATGTGATTCTAACACTTTCATTCTGCTCCAGCCTCCCTGCCAGCTTCCTCCCAGACGGATGGGCACCCTGAGTGCAGCAAGGAGGTAGATAAGAGACCGCTGCTGCTGATAGGGACTGCTCGAGCCCTGTGGGGCTAAGGGCCTGGTCCCCACTCCTCACCCTGCAAAGGTATGGTTAAGAGTCATAATAGGTGAATGAGGTCCTTGCCTTGCATGCGGCCAACCCAGAACCCCAAATGGTCTCGCCAGCCAAGAGTAATGCCTGAGCACAGAGCCAGGAGTAAGCCCTGAGCACATCTGGGTATGCCTCCCAAACAAACAACAACAATAATAATAATAAAAGCCAACCAGAAGTGCCCTCCTAGCCCCCCAAACCTCCCTGCAGCAAGCAATACAAGGCAGAGATTTCAACAGAAGTCTCAGGAAAAAGTAAACATTGCCAGAGGGAGCGACTGCTTGTCAACAGGAAACATTTTCCTCAGGACATGCCCGACCCAGAAGCAGCATATGGAGTCCTGGTTTTGTTTCCTGGGGTGTAATAACAATAGCCGTTTTCGTGGCTCTGATCCAGAAGACAGGATGCCTCAGGAGCTGGAGAGCCTGCGGAGAGAAGGGATGGGGGGGGGGGGGGTGAAGGAAGCAAAGGAGGAGGAATAGCAATCCCACAGATCCAGTTATCCTGCCTGGTTGTGTTCTCGAAAGAATGCAGGAGCCCAATTCCAAGAGAGATGTGCCTCCACTTTTACTGCTGGGGGTTGGGAGGGCAGGTGGTTAGCCACCTGTGTTCCAGGAACCCAGGGCCACTCCAGGCTGACTTCTGTGGCCCTGTTGGGGGACAGGGGAGCAGACAGGGGAGCAAGCTGGGCTGAGACTTGAAAGGGGTGGGGGATTCTGCATGCAAGGGTATGCGGCAGCACTTCTGGCTAGTCACAGGAGGCAGCCTATGGGCACATCCACAAACAATTGCATCAGGAAGAGGTGATCTTTCTGAACAACAGGACGCTATTCCTCTGTGGGGAAAAAAGGGATGAGACCCTGCCACTTGCACCAATGCCTGGACCAATCGAGGCAGATAGAGTATGACACTTTGTGAAATCAGTCCGATGGAGACAGACCCAGCATGGTTTCACTCATGACTGGTACACACAGAAAAGACACAGATGATTGCACTAAATTAAAAAATAAACAACTTTCAGACCATAAGATCACTTGTGGTTACCAAAAGTTGTACGCTGAAGGAGGGAATTGTACTTTTAATGAGTTCTACAGATGTTCGTTTGTAATGATGAGCATCTGAGACCTACATGTTATAAACCAATGCTACTTCTCTGATTTTTAAAAATTTCTTTCTGTGGGTACAAATAAATCACCCCTTCCTGAAAAAAAAAATCCTTATTAGAGCTGTAATCAGGACTTACGGCTGCCCTGAGCTGGAATTTTGCAGGATTGTACTGGAGTTCCCCATGGCAGGGAGACAGCCAGTGAAGAGGTATCGGGAACAGGAGCCGAGGCTGCTGGGACAGGGTGAAGGCACGGGGACTTGCCAGTGACCACGTTCCCAGCTGAGGAGTGAAGGGCTGCCCAAGCTGCAGTGCCCCAGCAGGAGAACACCTCAGCCTTCAGACATAGAAGTAGGGTGACCATCTACTCCCCGACACTGCGGGCCTACAAGCCCTCTAAAGACCAAAAGGAGAGAGAGATCAAGCAAGTCGCAAAAATCCACAGGCGCACTGGTCTTCTGGCTGAAAATTCCTAGATGCCCTGAAGAGGGAGATGGGCTGAGTCCTTGCTGAGGCCCCAGCAAGTCCTTGCTGAGGCCACACTTACACCGCCACAGCCGCCACCCGGCCAATGGCTCACTCCACTGCTCCGAGGCTAATCTCTGCAGAGACAGCAAACGGCCAGATATTTGAGGTACACTGGTCTTCAAACTGAGTCTTCTCAGAGTGGGGGCAGGCAGGCAGCCTTCCCACCCACCCCTGCTTCCAGAAGCCTCCATAGCCACTCCCACATCCCACAACTGTCACCATGTGAACATACGGCCCAGTTAATGTACCCTGGAGTTTCTGGAACTGCATTTGTGGGCACACTACTTCCAAATGTGTTACCTCCGAATCTACAATACTGACATCCCAGTAGGAGCACGCCAAAATAGACGGGAAAATAACATCGAAGCCAACTAAGCTCAATAAACGAAAAACAATAACACAGAAGGTTCAACTGGCAGCAAACAGCTTAGTAAAGCCTCAGAGAGGTTCTTAATCACCCTATGGTGAGATACAAATTCTTTTTTACTGAAGTATTTTTTGATAATTCATTAGCCATTTAGCTGTAAGAAACAATATACAATAAATTATGTTGTGTCTGCTAAGGGGGCAGGCTTCGGGGGTGGTTGGGAAAATGGGGACAATGGAGGAGAGAAGGTCACACTGCTGATGGGTTGGTGCTGGAGTATTGCACGCTCGAAACTAAACAGATCATGAACAATTTAAATCACAGGTGTTTAAATAAAGAGGGGTGGGGGGAATAAAGACCCAAAGGGCACCAAGGACTGAGTGCAAGCACAAGGGAAGTGGGGAGGAGGAAGTAGGGGTGATGATCACACATGCCCACCCTGAACCTGTAACTCAGTGAACCCACCCGCACCCCAGCTACAGGCACCCTGAGGCTGAGAATCCAG